TCCCCCGGCACGCCACCGCGGACGGCGGCGACCGAAACCGCGGCGTGACGCGGCCGGAACGTAAAACGTAAAAGGACGGGCGTACATCGCGCGCGGGCGCGGGCCGCCGTTTTGGGTCGGGAGCCGGCGAGGTAGGCTACGGACGGGAATTTAATATCGTATGTATAGATACGTCCGTGAGCGACGATAAACCATCGGTAACGGAAAAACGATTCTGAACGGAGTTCGGTTGATAACGGTGCTTTGTCAACATTACGATGCATACGGTATTATGTCGTGTTACGGTAAAGTGATTAGAACAACGTGCGTTTCCGCGACAACAATGGTTGTTTAAAAAAAAAAAAAAAAACGAAAATAACAAAAATTTAATAACAACGAAAAATAAATAAAAACGGTTGCCGATGACAACCTTATTTTTAATCTTTCAATTATTGTCAACCCGAAGACCGGGGTTTTCCTCGTTATTTCGAATATTAATGAGAATTTCAAAAAAAAAAATGATTTCTCTAAAGACCACCCAGAGAAAATTCTCTTTCAGAAAACGTGGGTGGACGTCTCGTACAATCTTACAGTAACAATGCTGGAGTATTTACGATACAATACTATAGACACGATTGACTATTACGTTATTAATTACATCATTTACATCTTTATTCTTTATCTTTATCATTAATTACATCTTTGTCGCGTAGTACCATTAACTTTACTAGACTTATTATAAAAAAACGGTTATTTCTGGTCACGGCACCGGTTTCGCTTGACCGTTCTATAGGCGCATTACCAGGGACAGATTGAGAGATTAGTTCGAGGATTATAGTGGGACAGAGCGGTTCATAGGAAATTTAGAATTTACACATTCAAATCGATATTACGTTAGACGTTTTTAAACATTTTTTTTTTTTTTTTCATAAAATAAATGAAAAAAATCCGTAAAACTCCGAAATTTTAAACATGGCTTATTGTTATAGTTTTCATCTCGGTTTCTCTCGACTTTTGGATTTAAATCACCGCAACCGTACGATATTATATTTAAATATATTTCGTAGCGTTACGTAGCAGTAGGCGACCCTTCTAAAATATAATAAAATACCATGTAACAAACGCGCATACCGAACTCGTTAAGAAAAAAAAAAACAACACACATGTATGTATGAATAATGTAACGAGTTTTTTTTTTTTTTTATATATTTACCGCGTTGAAATTCACCGTATATTTGACACGTAAGGCCAGCAGAAGATCCGCGCGATGAAAAATAATATGTCGACCGCAAATGTCCTCAAAACTCGATAAATCGTCCAACTTTATAAACAAAACGTTCAACCGTATCTCCTACGTGCGTAAGTTCATTATATTATGTAAACGATTTTAACGGCGTTTTTTTTTTTGTTTTTTTTTTTGGATTCTGAACGGAGAGAAAGAGAAAAATATATGGTTTTACAATAATGTTTAATTTTCAGCAATTTTGATCCGATTTACAACGGGAGCAGTTTTTCCAAAAGGAAACGGGTACGACATTTAACAAATATTATTAAATAAAACGTTTAATGCATATATGTAATCGTTTTACCGAAATATAACATACACATTGTTGACAAAGCAACACTATCGACCGAACCCGCCCAGAACCGTTGTTTTCGTTGGCAATGATGAATCGATTCCCGTCTGTGCTCTGCCCTGCCGGCTTCCCGCCAACAACAGCGGCTGCACCCGTCCCCGTTATCCTAGGACAGCCTTTTCACGTTCTCGACCCCGAATAAAACATCGCCGATTTTTCAAACAGACCCACGCGATATTGGCGGAGGGTTTCACCCGCCGTCGATTCCGCGTTTACTCTTTAATTCGATGATTTGACCGCGGGTGTTGTGTTACAGTATTATTGGACGCGTATGAAGTCGCGAATTGTTCGACGCGCGTTTTCGATAGCCCCGATACATTTTTCAGCAATAATAGCGTTTTCGCGCGACCGAAATATAATCAATACTCTTTCGGGTCGTCGGCATCGTCTATATGTCTGCAGTACATTATTACATAAAGGTAACGTCGATTTTGTTTTTTTGTTTTTTTTTTTTTTTATGAAATCATACCGTCGAATTCGGCGCACAATATCATCGGCAATCGTGTAAAACATAAAACCGGATAATACTCGCATAAAATTTCAATTTTTTCGCGGTTTTCCGTAATCTATTGTCATGATTATCGCGATCGCGTGACGTGGACCGTTCCGTTTGCGTAACCGTAACGATAACGCCGTCGTATGACCCTCCGATAATGGTTCGCGTACTTAATCTCGCGGCGCGCTGCTGATTTTATCGATCCGGTCAGGAAACGTACATATTGTATTATTATAGCGTCGTACCGTACGGATTTATATAGTTTGATGTCTTTGATGTTATATCGATCATAAAAAAAAAAAAAAAAAAAAAAAAAAACCTATTCTCCCCGAGGGTGACGATTTCCGACACGTATAACCCCAATGATGGGGGACGGCGTACGAATAAACTGCAGTGTACGTATGTATATAAATATATATACGTGTGTGTGTATACACACACATATATATATACGTACACAAAGGAAGTGTGAGTACACCCGGATATCCCTTCTGCCGTAATACAGCAGATGTTCCGACGGAGTGTGTAATATGATGTCATCCTCGTCGCGTTCAATTATTATATTGTTGTGTGGGCACAAAAACTGCGAAAATATTCTGGGGAAGTGCGTCGGCGGTCAAACCAATTTGTCGCCGGGCGGTGGGGACAAGGATAATTTTTATATAAAAATATATACGTTACCTATACCTGCAATAAGAATATTTGAGAAAAATCCCTGTCGCATGCGAAAGGGGCGCGCCCTTTTTGAGATCGCCACCGCGGGGTTAGAGGCACAGATATACCTCATTTCATTTTCGTTAAACTAAAACGTCAATTGATATTCACGGAATATCGCTGGTTTAAAATAATAATAATAAAAAAAAAAAAAATAATAAAAAAACACTAAATCATAAATAGGTCCGCGTAAATGTCTACAACAGCGGTTAAACCCTTTTCCATCGCGGCGTATCATTGTTATAGTTGTTATTACGAGTCGTGGCACACATTTGACAAACATTGTCTATTTGTCACGCTGAAATTGTATAGAATCGTTTAGAATTGGGATAATAGATCCACAAGATTATACGATATAACGCATGCGGTGTACACTAATTTTTGTTTCTTACAGATTCCGAACGGAGCTGGGAATCTATTGGTTTTACAGTGATGTTTATTTTATTGTTTTTTGTTCTGTGGACAATTTTACTACCAGTGATTTCGCTCCGATTTTCGAGCGTAGCACTTTTCCCGAATGGAAATCCGACCGGGGTGGTACTTTTTGGTTTGTTCAGCTGTTTTCACAATTAAAGTGTAAAACGTGGGAAAAAGCGTAGGGAATGTATTACGTTCAAAATAAACATGTATACAACTGAACTCCGTTCAGAATCGTTTTCCGTTAGAAATGATTAATCGCGTTGCGTACGCTGCGACATTCATTGAAATTTCCCCTCCACCTTCCCAACTTCTCAACTATACAACAGTGGCCATCGTGCGAAATATGATGTCATCGTGATTTTTTTTTTCAATTTTTTTTTTTTTAACAATATCGTACCTGCAAAAAACGTACAATGCATAAAACATACATGTACGCGTATACAGTAAACAAAAAGTTCAAGTTTTCACGGCACGCCTTTAACATTTCACGGTACACTAGTGTTGGCCGCGGCACACCCTTTGGGAAACACCGGTCTAAAGTCGGTCGTAGCGATAGCAGACCGGTACAAAATAATATTTTACGCGCGCGTAAATTAAGTTTCGTTACACTGCGGATTTTATTAATTTTTTTTTTTCTTTGACTTGCGCGGCGCCGCGCGTCGTTCGCGCAAATATTTACACGCGCGCTTCGCGCATCCGAGCGATTTCGGGTGCCGCGGGTGCCGCGATGACTTTTCGCCGTTTTCGCGTTTCGTTGTCTTTTAACCGAGGGTCTTTCGGATTTAAGAACCCGAAGAAGCCGTTTATAGTACAGTGCAATAATTTTTAAGAAAATATCTTTTTAAAAAAAAAAAAAAAAAAAACAACAAAAGTAGTTCAAATGAAAAGTATTAAATTTCGATAAAATTATTTGTAGGTTCTTGAACAAATAAGAAGACCATGATGAGAATATGATTTTGTATTTTTCGTATAATCTGTTTGTTTAAAACCGATCTGATAAAGTTACTTTATAATATTGCTTGAAAAAAAAAAAAAGTGATATAATCCATTTCATAAAATAATTTGTTTTGGTAAAAAACAAATTTTATTGCACGTATACACGTACGCGTGTGTTTGCGCGCACGCACAGAAACCGGCCGCCGGAAAACCGGCTCGGGGCCGGAAACGGAATCGTCGCGGGCCCGGCCTTTAGAAAACTTTCGGGGCCCGCACAGCGCGCGGCACGGTCGGCATTGTCGTTGTGTCCGCGCACAGCGGAAACGTTATCCGGTCAACGTGGACGCGGTCGCCGTCAATTCGACCATTACTTTCCCCCTCCGCGGTCGTACGCGCGCGCGTTGCGTATGACGCAGCGCAGCGTGTTCGCGTGTACACGCGAGTGTATTGTACAGATAAAAAAAAAAAAAAAACCCGTCGTTCCTCCTCTTTGAACGAGAATCGTAAAAAAAAAAAAAACAAAATTAAATAGATAAAGAAAACGTACGAAAAGCACCGGGGGGGGGAGGGGAGGGTTTGGTAAGGGGATTGAAGGCCGGGGGCTTCGGGAAGAGAAACAGTATTATACAAGGTCTGACCAATA